CCATTTCACGAGTGTGTGTTGCTTTGGGTTAGACTCAACATGCGTCTTCAGGGTATCAATTCCAACATGTTGGACCCTGCCACAGTTTTTAAGGATAAAGTCACCTGAACGAAATTTGCTGAACCATCGTTGACACTTATGAACGTTCAAAACATTTCCATAAACTTCTTTGCTATTTTTTGTGGCTACAGAGGCGTTGTTTCCCCTCTTGTATTCAAACAACATTACATGCCGAATGTGTGTGTCTCATCGTGTGCCATCTCTATAAGGGATTAGAGTATACTAAATTTTACACATTATATAGGCTACACTAACGTGGCATTTAGGCAGTTCATTTAACTACTATACGTAATGTACAATTTTTAGGGGATGGTTAATGAAAGTGTTTCAAAACGCGACATTAATTTCTTGACGACCTGATACATACAATGTTAAAAACAAACAATTTATTGTACACAATTATAAAAATAAGATTGTTTCCAGTCTCAAAAATACAATAAAATACCAAATAACATACTATACACAATAATAGAAAAAATCCCGATGATACTGGAAATACTCTCATGCACGTAAAATGTTTCACTATCGTTACTACGTCATCTTCAGGAATCCAATGTTTTACATAAGTGAGACTTATTCATACCCTTATAAAAAATCACCATAATATAATTTACATATTAAAGAACTTCACGCCATCTATTGACAACATTTCCATCATCCTTATTCAATATTTAATTTTCTTTAAAATATTTAATTATCTCAAGAAATTCAAGTATATTCATTCTAATGACATTTTTTAGGTTGTGCGAAAATAACATTTTTCCCCATTTAACTGTGTCTTTAGTTTCATTAATATGTTCTGCTAATATTATTGCTTTTAACATATCTTTTATATTCATTTATCCTGTATTTTAAATTTCTCCTAGCTTGTCCTTTATAAACTTTTTTCACATTCACATGATATTTTATATATAACAAGTTTTTCCATTAAATAAATTTTATATTTAGTTATATTAAGAATCTGGCTAACTTGATTTATCGGTTTATATATCGGATACATATGTTTTTGTTAACTAACTCGCTTTATTATTTGACAAGATAAACCAGATATAAATGACGGTACCAAACATAATTTTTTACTTCATTTTCAGCAAGTGGTTTTCATTTAATATTTTCATCTTTTTTTTAGTTTTGGACAGCTCTGTCAACAATATCAGAATTAAAACCTCTTTCTACTGCTACATACTTAATTAACAATAGCTCATTATTAATGTCTTCCTGTTTACATCATAATTTTAGTATCGTATACACACAAGAGTAAAAAAAAAAACAGTAATTTTCTGAGATTTAGTGTGATAAGATTTCTGATATGGCGGAATGATTACAGAGGAAGGTTTTCAGTAAATTGTAGTTTCCATTTCATCCTTATGTTTACCCAGTAAAACATCCAAAAAAAAAGGTAAACAGCTATTTGTCTCAACTTCACAAGTAAATATGATACAGTTGTCAATGTTATTAAGGTAAGTAGCAAAAAGAGCCAATTCCAGATTAAAAAAGCACTTTTATTTCTAAATGATAAATTTCGGTTTAAAAAATTAGATAACCTTAACACTGTATCAAAATATATTGATATAAATAAAGTGTTTTGTATTTAATTTCATTCGTGTCAACTTACTCCAGTGTGTGTGCCCCGACTCGGGGTAGGTTGACACACACACACGCTCTTCTATTATGTTAATTTCTGAGAAAATTAGCAAAGGGGTAAGTAATTTGTTTTAACTATGTAATAGAGGAAGGTATCTACTATAT